ATCATTATTCTGTTGTAATATTGTCATTTATCCATGCAGGACTCTGACTGCTTTATTATTAAACCACATTATATATGTACAGTTCGATATTTAATTCAGAAATTTTCTGGCATGATGACAGCCATTCCTATAAATAAGTAAGGAGGTGTTCACTTAGCATTCTTCCTAAAGCCATGTAGGGCAGCAGTTTACAATCCCCTTTGATTAATAAATTTAAAAAGTATGAGCTTTAGAGTTATTTTCAGAAATTATCCAAATAACAAATAAAATAATGAATTGCTTAATTTCAGCTCTAAATGTTTATAATAATGACACAACCATGACTTTTGCCACATTATCCTGTTTACTGTAGCTTGTTATTCTAGCCTTGTTTAATTGACAAAGTAAAGATAGTTGTAGCCATACCAAGTGGAGTAACATCTGCTTTTCTTTAGTGGGGACAAGAAAAGCATCAAAGACCTAAAACATGCAGTCAGATTTATGATAAAATGGTTTCAATCACAGCATTTTCATATCTTTGAATTACCTCTAGTCAAATACTACTGGCAGTGTGTGGGCGGCACAAATGTAAAACTAGATGAATATAGGCGTTGGAGATATACCTTAAAATATTACAGCAAAGGGGAATCTATAAACTTTTAGCCCAACGTATCAATTCCCTTCCACCTTGTTATTGTGTGCTATTTTGTGGTCGTCTGTAACATAAATTCCCAGTAAAATTAATTTAAGTTTGAGCTTCCAAGTATTCTATGGGGCTTTTCTTCAAATTCAAGCTCTGTCTCTCATTCTATAATCAACATTTAGAACTCTTCTCTCCATCACAGCCTATTTGGCACACTCCCACTGTCAGGGTTGAGCCGCTAGAACCAGATGCTGGAATGACTGGTGTCCTTTAATGACAGACTCCTTACCTTGGTTGGTACCTTGGAGAGGGGAAAGGGGAGAGGAAGCATGACAGACAGGGCTGCGTCTAGTGTGTTGATGTTACACCCATAGATGCCGATGAAAACGATGATGATGGGGTGAGACCAAAGCAGATGGGTGAAGACAGACAGGTGACAAGGTTGGGGTGAGTTGGTGGTCAGTGACAAAAGAAACAGGCTTAATCCTGATCCTGTGGCCTTAATTCACAATAAAATCTTGCTCCTCCGAAAACAACCAGTAGCAAATCTAAACAGCCAGGAGCAAAAGAGTAGATTGAAGCAGACACATTTAAAATGGTTTATTAGTGTTAGTTACATTAGAAGCACACCAAGTCATAAAATATATTTAAAACCTCTAAAATGTCCTTATTAACACGTAAGTGAAAACGTCATAAAACAGAGTTTTAATAAGGCAGCTTTACAAAGATTTAACGTGAATATTTGAACCTTTGGAGACTAAGACAAGTTGTAAACAAGCTCTAAATGCTAACAACATGCTGACAGTAAATTTGCAATCAACGCAATTACAAACTGTGCAAGTTTTATTTCTTCAGCCAATTTTTATCATTTTAGCTGTCATGTAGTACATTAGTGACCCAATAAGAACTGCCCTCTATCTGTTTTTTAAATACTACACAAGTCACAATTATAAAGCATGATTTGTCATGATTTTGGCACTGATGGCTGGCTTGATTGCTAATTTCCTTCACCTAGCTCTGCCCTGTTCCTCATTACTCATTAGATCGACCTGTTCCAGTTTCCTATTTAAGCTGCATGTTTCCCAGCCATCAGTGCCAGATTATTATTGAGGCTTTGGTGTTGAGAATTCTATAGCATTACTATAGTGTTCTGAGTGTCTAATCCTGATCTGTTTCTGTATTTGGACATCTGAACCTGCGTGCCCCTGTCTGATCTGATGGCCTGCCTGTTTTCGGACTCCTGTGGAATTCTTCACTGGACTGAACCTGGATCTGTCTCTTGACTTCGCCCTGTGGATTATTCTGTGTTGCTTCGTCAGTTTATCGTCTGACCTCCTGTTAGCTTTGTAACCTTCTACGTTTCCAATTTAAGACATTTTGATTAAGCATTTAGCCTGGAACGACCAGATGGAATCATCTTCGTTCTCTGGACAAGGACTGAACTGTGAAACCAGGTTAGTGACTCACATACTCATAATGATCCTCTGTCAGATTATTGTAGCCACTAACCTGTGTTTCTCTCCGATACACGTTCCTGCCTCAGACGCCCTAACCGCTGAAGTTGCTGCCACTGCACTGTTTGTTTGAATAAACACTTTGTAAGTACTCCAATGTCTGTCTTGTCTGGACCTACTTTCTGAGCCATTACATGATTTGTGATTGCTCTTTATATGCAGTAAACTTTATCTTCAAGAAATGTTCCAGATGACATTGGGGTACCTAAAAAAATAATAAAAAAAGAAAATAACCAATGTTTGTTGTCTAGTTCCTAATCAGTTAGAGTTGTGTGAAATCCAAGGTTGACCCTCTGTTGGGACTTATTTGACCAGCCAACATAGTGTCACACAGTTAAGTTGGCAAGCTGGTGCGAAGTGGGAGGACAGCCCAAACATTGCTCCACTGAAACCAACAGAGCAGATGACCTGTTTCTAAATGCTAACCTAATTTACATAAACCACCACAGAAATGGCTACCTGAAGTTCTTTACATGTGAATAGCTAAGGGATATTAAAGAGGGCAACTTATCACCAAACAAGTTTAAATAAAACCATAAGCAGCTCTCTTTGAAGCCAACAATGGAGGGACTATGCAAACATCACTATTGAAAATATTCCCAACATTTAATACAGAAAAGGGAGTAAATGCAAGACCTAATGCTGATGTGTAGGTGCGTAACTTAACCAGTCCAACATTTTATAAGGTAAGGAATCTTTATTGGCAATAATCTCTAAATATTTTAGTAGGTTTTTTGTTAAATTACTGAACGTTTTAACTGCTGGGAGATGTTCACTTTAACAACTGCAAGATCTAACAATAAAATATGCAACTTTAATGTTTCCCCAGAAGGTATTTAAATAGTTAATGTGCAAAGCTGCAGATTTAAGTCAAGCCTGAAGGTGTTAACCTTGGAGCAGGAGCTTCTTTCTGTCCCCTTCTCCAATCATATTAATGTCAAATCCACTTAACTGTACATTTGCTTGGTTGTCCTGGAAAGTTTTAAGTGCTGTCCCATAATGTAGAGGCGCCCGTTTATGACACATGGTTGATACTTCGCCACTTAGACGATAAGCTTCCAAATAAACATCAAAATTTTTGGTGCAATGGATGAAGCTGGCAAACATGCAGCTTTAGGAAAGGACTTGACTTAATTGACGTAATGGTCTTTGTCTGCAAACCCAGAGGTGTTTCAAATAGAATAAGGATGACTGAGTAACAACCTGTTAAATAACACTTATTGTAGCAAAACATGAAGGTTGGTGCATGAATATACAGTACTAGGTGCTTTATATATACAGTAATCTAAGCTGAAATTCCAAAATAAATTTGCCATTGTGCAAAGAATGCTCAGTTTAAAAAATAATGAACCTAATCTGTTGAAATATAATTTCTCACAGTTAAAAGAACAGTTTGAATGCATCATCAAAGCCTAATGCTTATAGTCATTTGAGATGATGATGGGTGTTCATAAACTCCTGACTAGAACAGGCTGTGCACTAAAACAGTTGAAGTAAACCTGATATCTACATGGCATCCCAACATTTATAGGGACAAGGAGATGCATATATTGTTTTAATGAAAGTTTTGTAGAAGCTGAGAAAACTTTATAGGATGTCTGGGTTAATCAGGTGGGTTAGCAGATATCAGTGGGAGCTACAGAGATTGTGTTAAATGGATTCTCTGATGCAGCTGCAGGCTGACGCTCAGTCAAGCCTTCACAAAATATTTGTTTTCAAGGCACATTAGAGAGAGTAAATGAGTCAAAAAGAAAAGGTCTTCTAAGTGCTTTAGATGCGGAAACACACACACTTGAACACACAGAGAGAGAACTTTAATAGGAACAGATGCATGGCTGCATGAAACACGCTCTTTTCTGATCTCTCTTTCGTTTCACCCACCATTTCTGTCCTTTGCAGTTTAAGTGGGAGACAGAAAAGAGGGTGAGTAGAGAGAGACATTCAGGGTGAGACCTCGAGCTGTGCAGAGAAAAGAGAAGTTGCGATCAGAGGAGGACAGCTTCAAGAACGCCATGATCAAAGACGGCGAGAGCGTGACCATTTGGCTGTGGATCGTCAGCCACACTGATCTCAGTTCAGATCAAAGTGGATTGGTTTGCAGGCCTCTGTCCTTTGGTGGGGCCACATTAACACTTAGCCCTTGGGGTGTTTTGTGCTGGTAATGGGGAGCAGAAGGTCTTACACATGTAGGGTTTTGATTAAGGGAGGGCCTTCCTGCTCTAAAGCACAAGTCTCAATGAGGCAGGTAATGGGAGGTCGTATCAAAGCTCCTGTCTCATTTATTCTTTGAAGATGTGAGCGACAGAGAGGATAAAACCTGCACACATGCTCATTAGGCAGGCGGCGTGTTCTTTCAGAAAGGAGGTGTCATCCATCCATCCATCCATCCATCCATCCATCCATCCATCCATCCATCCATCCATCCATCCATCCATCCATCCATCCATCCATCCATCCATCCATCCATCCATCCAATTTTTGACACTTATTGGGTGGAGAGATAATAAAAAAGTGGACTGGAGTGAAGAGATAATAAAAAAGTTAAATTCACAGGTCCATCTCTCTCTGTAAACAGCATCCACCTTCTTGCCGCCATGTTGCTGTGTTTCACTTGAGTAAGTTATCTGCCCATACCTGGTCTTTTTGTAGACCGTTTTTGAGTTATTTCTGGGGCAGTGTCACAGCGCCTACAATGAGTACAGCATAGAGACTGCAGCATTTTCAGAGGTACTGAAAATGTGTGGATGCACATTGATTTTGTCTCATTGTGGACAGGAGCTTGGTATATCCTGCTTTTCTGTTCAAGTAAATGCAGCTATTTTAAGAAAATGTAATCAGTGTAACATGACAGAGCTTCAATTTACCCTCAGAGTGGTGCGACAGGATTAGGAGATTAACACAGGACGCCCCTGCTCCAGATCCGAAGATTGTGATCCTCTCAGGGTCTCCGCCAAAGTGGCCGATGTTCTCGTTGAGCCAACGCAGAGCCTGAATCTGGTCCAGCAGCCCATAGTTTCCTTTAGCTGACTGATCCCCGGTGCTGAGGAAACCTGGTTATAGAGAAAGTTAAAAGATTTAAAAAGAGAAAAAAAAAAGATAACATTTTACTGTTATAATATGGTTTCTTTTCTATGTCACTAAACATAATTTTTGTCTTTTACGATTTTTAAATGTGTAACTGTATATAAACTTTCTGGACATGGTACTTTATCTTAATTTGTATAGTTATACCTGATCATTATACATATATTTTTTTTTCAATAAAGTATTTTTGAATTTGATTTCAGTGTGTTGGATGGTTAATTTACTGCTGCAGATACACAAAACTGACACAGATGGATGGAGCCAAATATGCTGACCTTCAGTGATGAAAACTGTGTTCATCACCTTTATATATTTTTTCAAAATATTACATATTTCATATATTCCTAATCTTGTTCAAAAATATAAACACAAAAACATCATCCTTATTATGTACATATATGTGTTTCTTGTCAATTTATGTTCAATTATTAAACACAAAGCTTTCCTTTTGACACTGAAGGATAGTTTTTACTTAATCAAACCACATCAGATCCCTGTAAAAGTGCCCGACACTCTGCCAGCTAATATTTGCCTCTGATGAATACTATCAAGTGTCTTCAATTGTTCAACCAAAGACATAACTAGTTTCCACTTAGGCAGCACTTAACCGACAGTCTCTGAATGGGACCTCTAATTAGAGCCAATTAAAGACATGCATAGTGGATAGGCCTCTCATTAAGCAGTGAATGTTAAACACTTATACAGTGTAAAAATCAAATACAGAACATATACAAAGAGAGTTCCCAAACAAAATTATTGAAGAGCATAAATTAAAAATTGTTATATGAGTTTTTTTTTTTTTTTAACACCATCAGCCGTAAAAAGAAAGATTTGAAAATGTAAAACAGTTTTCTGAGATGAGGTTGCTGGAAAAAATAAAGGATGTTAATTTTATTTTATCTGCTTCTGTGTATCAAAATAAAAATATTAAAGTAAGGATGTGCTTCCAAAAGACGATAAATCTGTTAGAATCTACAATGATGAATTATCTATAAAATTACTATGTGGCGGAACTTCAATGAAATAATTGCACGTTAAGATTAAATTCACACAGACTGTCAGGCTGGGCTGAATAATCCTTTTAAAAAATGGCACAAAGATGTGAAAATGATCATTTCAATAGTATTACTAATACAATATGTAATTGCAATATACATGTCAGTGGAGTAATACTGGCGTGTCAACTACAAAAAAAAGGAAAAGGAGTCGCAGCATTGTGACATCTAGTTATGTAAAAGGGCGCCACTGTGTGGCCAGAAATAAAATCACAACTCTGATCCAGGATCACAAAAAAATGCCAGAAAAATGCTAATAATAATGATTAAAAAACAAAAACAAATATATAAATATATTAACAATAATCACAAGTTCAACTGGAACTGTAATAAATAAAGCAGGAAGCAAACATAAAATGGTTCTAAAAGTGCAGTGTGTTATAAAGATTAAAATCAGGATTGCAGGAATCATCTGACATATTGAAGAAAGGTTTTATTTATTTATGTCTTTAGAGTTGAAGCATTATTTTTATATTCATCACAGCTAACTGAAAACGGCTCAGAGATATGGGTCAGATGAACCTTTAAATCTAAATTCATGTTTATTTGATTAGCTTACTTTGGTTTGTTAAAATCTGCATCAATAACCAGTATCTTCCTCTATCAATTAAAGCCTAAAGCACTCAAGTTTTTACTTTTTTTTTTTGCATTGATCATCTTTCATTTTTAAAACCTAATGCCAATGTTACAGTAATCAATTAACCACACATTGATGTATAGCCCTTTGCTGTTCCTCCTAAATTCATAATAATAGGCTGCACATTTGAATAAATGAATTAAAGGGAAGCAGAAAACTAAACGCTTGACTGTAAACAGCAAATAAATTTAACATAACAGCTATGCTAAGTAAGTCATTCATTGGGCTAATTAATCTAAAAAAGAGCAATGTCTCTGTATTAGCGTTGCATTGGTGCTTATACAGAATAACATAATATACTGTCAGTGTTACTAAAAGTCAAGGCAATATCAGATGGTAAGAAATAAACCTTTTTTTTAACCTTTTTGTGCAGCCTAATGGTGTAAAAATGTTTTGTTCTTTGGACATTAATAGTTTAACAAGAACAAATGTTGTGCTCTGTTGCTAGAGCAGCATCAGACAGAACCAGCAGCCAGGGAACATCATCATGTCGTCTCTCCTCCACCTTCACGCTGCGTCCATCTTACAACAAATCAGTGTGCAATAGTCTCCCCTTCTATACACCACAATCTAAGGGCTTGGAAAACAGAGGAGGGTTAAAGCAAAGCGATCCAAAATGAAAACCCTGCATTCTCCTATGATATTTGAAACTGTCGAGGAAAGATGGGTTAGATGGGCGAGGTAGAAGCTGGGGGAAAAAAAAAAAATGAAAGGAGACGGCGAGGAGGACAGTGGGTGTTCTGTGACTCCGGATAGAAGCGCAGCGTTTCATCTGCCTCCAAGACACCAGGGGTTGGTTCCAGCGCGCATACACACAAACAGGGATGCTGATCAAAGGCTGACACTACAAAAAAAAAGCCTGCATCCATTTCCCTCAGTCTTCTTCACGTTTTCAATAGCCTGATCAGATGTAATGAACACATGTGAGCACACATTATGCTAATGCATGATATAGGAAGGACTGTGCACACATAAAACAGTCACGCATCATTGGAAAACTATAAAAGGTGCCTTTCTTTTGGACAGCATCCAAATAAATCCTGCAGTAAAGCATCTATGGAGTTTTATCCTCTTCTATTTATGCTTTTAGAACCTATATATGCAGTGGCTATGGATTTGTGCAGTCATATTTTTTATTCAGATTTTTGTGCTCTTGCAAAGATTCTAGTGCAGCCATACGTGTGAGAATGACTTAAATGTCTTGAGTGAAGGACACATTCCTAACTCTCTTCGTCCTCTGTGAATAGACCGTCGGAGGCTGAGATGAGTGCCAGATGTCTCTAGGTGAGCATGTGTGTTTGTATTCCTGGCGGTAAAGTAATTATTCTCAGTCAGAGGAGTCCAGAAAAATTATATATTTTCTACGCTGCATTCACACAGTTTTGCGAGTGCATTTGGTAAAGTTCATGTCAAGAGTTCTTTATTTCCAGAAGGCCAAACTGAATAACCCGAGAAAAGAGAAATAGGATTTGGAAGTAGGTGAAAAAAGGTGAAATGAAAAACATTCCCCTTCTCTTCATAAGGCTTAAAAATATTTTTTTATCCCCACAAATAGCTCTTTGGCATAAATGTAGCTAACCTTGGGTGATTCGCTTTGCTCTTTCTTTTTTGTGCCCTTGTATCTCTGTAAAGTTGTTATTCCTATCGCCAGGCTGCGGTAACCAAATCATCTGTGAAATTATTTAAATTTCATGCCCTCATATTGGAAAGGACACGTCTGAATGTTTGTGTTTCAGGATATGTTTGATAGTATTGTTCCTGGGTCGATCCAGCATAACATTATTTGCCTTTTTTTGTAATTAGTGTCCTTCGTGACTCTTGTAATGAAAACTACAGGGCTAACCCTACAACTATGCAAATTTTACTGTAGAGTATATTGTCCACAATCACTGCATTAAATACCAAGATTAAAGCAACAGCATCCTAAAGCATTTCTAAACCTCACACTGCTTCATCCCAGTCAGATCAAGAACAATGTTTGATTCACTGTACTCAGAGTGACATATTGGTATTTAATGTGAATCAGGGGACCAAGAATTCAAAGCCTCTGGTCCAGAGCCAAATGTACCAGCATAGCACATGTCCCATAACACTTCAATCACAATAGGATTAGCCACTTGGATGTCTAACCACTGCTGGAAGGAATTACGCCCCTTAATGAACCTAGGGTTCAGCAGTGTTTCATGAGAGCTCCCTGAGTGAGCTCTCCAGTTCTACAACAGCTTCATGCATGGCTTGGAAGACATGGTCCACCAGGGATGCTATTTGTGCTGCAGTCCTTTTGTCTCAGACTACCTGCAATGTCTGCAGGATGCATCCTAAGACACAACATGGACTTCCTAATGACCTTATCAAAGCAGTTCCTGTTTGCTATTTCTCTTTTGCAGGTGGAGTTCAGTTTAGTTGACCTAAAAATCCTGATTAATTTAGTTAATTTTGATCAGAATTTCCAACTGGAGTTCTACCTGCATCAAGTTTGCATCTCCCTAAGTGCATTTTGGTTCCTCTCCAAAAGACACAACTTTTAATTAGTCTCCGAAATGATCTTGGGTGCAATTATGCATCTGCATGTGCTTCTGTGTAGCCCTATGATAGACCAGGATTCTCTGAATAATTTACCCTGCCTCTTGCCCAATGATCGCAGGAGACCATGCAAGACAGTGGATGAATAGATTGAACAAACTTTTAAATCATCAGACTATTTTATTTTTACTCTCCTAATATCTGGCTGTTAAACTGAACCATTTGTTGCTATAAAAACACTGATACTGATGCAAACTGCTGTCAGCTAACAGTTCTCAGCACCTATTTTTTTAATTGCAGGAATTTCTGGTCCATTTTATTTATTATAATTATAATTCTTGATATTGTATTGAATATAAACTTGATATTAGATCATATCAACTTTATTTTTCCACTTTTTGTCTTTTTCTCTTGCACTCCATTTACATCTATACTTTTTTTCTTTTATTTCCCAGGTGAAGTTTTCAAATCCCTTTAAACAGAACTCTACTCAATGTTTCTACTTCATTTGCACCATTCTTCTGATCACTGCTGGACTTTAAAGTCCAGCAGTGATCATTTAAAGATGGATGAATCCAAATTTCTTGGTTCAGTCTGGAGCTGCTGGTCTCTATAGTCCTGACGTTGGTAAAAGAGAAAGCAGGCCAGCTCTAGTAGAGAGAGAACGACCATGTGCACATGCAGGTTTTCTCAATACTTCAAGATCGCCCCCCTCCCATGTTTATATTTGCATGCATAGATTATTAGCAGG